AGTTAAGATAAGTTGATCTTTTAGCATAAGAAAAAGTCAAGGTGTATCCTGGAGCATAAGAATTACAGGAAGTAAAACCCTGATCTAAACTATGTAAAAGAACTTTTTACTGATGAGATAATGGTCAACTGCCCACTATAAAAAGGGGCATGCTGTAGAATAAAGTGAGACATTTCTCTTCTTGAATAAGCGCTCCTGTGTCTCCGCGCGTCTTTCTTCTTTTTTCCTCGCCGACTCCGCCTCCACCTGAGGGAACCCCTGGACCCCGCGGGAGCTGGTCTCCCGCATGTATCCAGCTAAGAAAACCAGCGATATGGTAAAAGTACCCAAGGAAAGACAGACAGAAGGAAGCACCTGCACGGCTCTGCCATTGACATCCGAACCGATGGATGCTGCTGTAGCAATTGTGTTAGGTACTGTAGCTGTACTTGTTTCACAGATGTGCATATAAGACATGGGTATTTTTAATTCACGACTGGCCACCTATAAGAAAGTAAACATTCTCAAGTTTAGCAAACAGTTCTGTGAAGATTTGAGTCATGATTATTTTTAATGAAAAAATTACTATTTTTATTAAGTTCATAATAGCCTTTAAAGCCTAAAATAATATGTCTTATAAAAATTAAAAACACTTTTTAATAGAGCCTCATGCTGATTTTCAAACTTTTTTCTTGGTAATATTCCACAGTGGTTCTTTCATTCATATTTAGTGCATTTAGGATGTTAAAGATTTCCTTTTGTCTAACTTTTACATGTGTAGAGAGTAGGACAAGTTGAGATTATTCATATTTATTTCATGGCAGTGGCAGGAAGACAGACAGTGATTAGATTGACTGACTCAGAGTTTGGTTTTAAATATGTTGGAATCAGTATCAGATAAACTTGGAATGACCCTGACAGCCTGTCTTTTTTTTTTGCCCTCATCCCCACCCTAACTTTAGCTTCTTTCTCCTTTTCTTTTATTTGTTCTCGCTTGCTTATACTCCTCTAGTATTTGCTATTTACTTTTTTCTTTTCTGTTCTTTTCCTTCCAGTTTCTCTAGCAGACACATTAAGATATTTAATCAAAAAGAAATGAAAAAAAAAAAAGAATGGAAGGGAGGTAAGGAAGGAAAAGAAAACATTATTTTGGCTGATGTCTTTTCTTTGCAAAAACGCTTTCTCCAGATGTCTGCAGGTATGTACGTGTTTCCAAATATCTTCAGATTAATGCCATTCAGTGATTAAATTTCCCCAGAAAGATGCAAAAAAAAAGAAAAAGAAAAAGAAAAAGAAAGGACAATATATTGGTTCTTGGTGATGAAAATCCAAAGGGAACTTATTGGTTCATATAAATGGGAAGGATAGATGGAACTGGCGTCATGTATTCGTATGTCTATAATTACAGGCTTTGTGATTTCCTCCTCAGGGTCCTCTCAGAGCCTCTCACGTTTGCTTTTCTTTCTATGATGGCCATGTTATTTCCAACAGTAAACAGGCTCCTTCCATGGCACAGGAGAATTGCCTCTGACAACCCCTGGCCTCTAGCATAGTAGTAGCTAAATAACCACAGGAGAAGAATAGTTTCTTTCTCCCAGCATCTACCTATCAATCTCAGGAAAAGACTCTGATTGGCCTTGCTTGGTCATGTGTCTTCTTTCTGGACCAATCCCTGCATCCAGTGGGATTCAGGAACCATGACTGGCCAAACCTGGGTCCTGTGCATATATATCTGTGGCTGTAGATGGGGCAAGGAGGGTGATGGGGCTAAAAGGTACCAGAATTGAGGAGCCCTTCAGAACTATGTGGAATGTGGGAGGTATATTCCAAAGGAGCTGAGGGGCTGGATAGTCAAAAGCTGTAGATTATGCACTATAACAATCTAGTAAATTAGTCATAAAATTAAATTTGTTCAATTTAAAGTATTATTCCTTTTACCTCTGGGATTATATCTTCCTACATTCTGTGTGCATGTG